ACCAACCAAACCAAACAAAAAACAAACAAACAAAAAACCAAAAACTAAACAAACAACAAAAACAAACAAAAAAAACCCTAAACCCCAAACCAACCAAACAAAAAAACAAACAAGAAAACCCTCAAAAACCCAAACCAACCAACAAACAACAAAAAAAAGAACCAACCAACCCCTCCCCCCCAAAAAACCGAAACAACACAATGTAGTACTGTATTAAATTTTATCAAATACACATGAGAACACTGGTTTAAATGAAGAAGGTGACTCAGAAAATTTTCAGAATGTCTGTTGGTTAACTTGGAAATGTGATTCTTTGAAGATTAATAGCTGTAGAACATATTCACCCTCCCTGTCTCCCTCCCTTTTTTTTTTCTTCCTTCTCATTGCTTGCCACTCTCATCTTGCCACTGTTTGCCTTTGGGATAACAGGTTTTATTAATTCTCTTTATTTGCACAAGTGCCTTTGATGTAGCTGATTAAAGCTGATTTAAACCAAGTACTTGTATAATATAATGAACATCCACAAAGTGAATCAGTAGATCATGCTTTTCCCTTAGTACCAATTATTAGAAGGGAGCAACCCATTGCCTCCTTTTTTATCTGTAAAACTTAAAACTTCCAGCCAGCTGAGGTGTAGTGAATTTGCTTAAGGCCTTGAAGTGGGAAATTTAGCTTCTCTGTGTGGAAAAGATTGCTTCTCTCAGGGATTCTTTTTTTAAAAGGCTATTTCTTTGCATTAACACATGAAGCAGATGGAGTCTAAAAGTTGGAGTCTGAATGTTCCTTGGTTGTGAATACGAGCAAAATCTTAAAGTCGCTTCTGTTTGAAATAATTTGCTAGCTGGGTTGTAGTATTTAAAATTATTGGAGGGGATCTTTAATAGTCTTAAATACTTTCAGTCTGTATAGGAAAAATAAGTAAAAGTAGCCATAGAATAGAGAAATCTAACCATATGAGCTTGAAAAAAAACAAGACGTTTTCTTAATTTTTTTTTTTAGTATTTAAATGCCTTCAGTTATTGCTTCTAAATTGAAAAAGTAAAGACATTTTGAAAATGTAAATAACATTTTTGAAAAGTAAATTAAAAAAACCCCAACCTATCTGTTGAATGACCATAGAACAACTAATAGGATGCATAGTAGTGTTTCAGAAATTTTTGAGCAAAGTTTTGTTGTTGTGAGGAATTGGAGCTTCCATTTGCTATAGCTCCCCTTATGTGTCTGTGATTGGACTCATCTCTTCCTCTGCAATGGTTGGGGACTAATTGGCTGATTCAGACCGATTGAGATTCTGTTTTGGTAGACCTAAGTCCCTGTTGCACTGAGGATTCAAATGAAGATGAGAATGGTAAAGGGTATAACACATGGTTACATAAAACCTTTTGCAATGCTGTTAATGTTATATTTTACATAGTTGTGTTAATGCCTGATTAGAGGAGCTTTCTCCATACAGAATGTTAGTCCTGAAAATTGAGGATTTTAAGTACCTTGATAGCAGTTCAAAGATCCTTCACGACAAATTTTGTATGTGCTCCTGTTTACCCTTCCTGCCCCAAATTGCTGAAGATGCTGTTTCACATCAAATACGACTAGTCAGTAAAAATTTACATTGTTTCATTTGTGCACTCTCTTAGGAGGGCCATCTCTGCCTATTAAGTCTTAGTGTTGTTGAAGGTCCTGTTGTCCAGCAAATGACAGGCTGTAGCGAGTTCAACACAGGCTCTTTGGATGAGAAGGTTGTGCTTTGAGTACAATACCTTTTAGAAAATGTTGGTGAAAAGAATGGAGAGGATATGCCACAACAGGTAAGTGCAGTGCAACAAACTGTGTTATTTCTTCTTTCTAATGGGTTTACTTAGGACAAAGAAGCTAAACAGAAAGGAAAAGGTTGCATAGTTTAACTTTTGCTTGGTCTCTTTTCCCTTTCCTACTGTTCTTTGGACTTTGAGTGACAGAAGGGTTTGATGCTGTACAGAGCTACTGGGTTTAGAACCAGCTGAAAGAGAACAATCATGCAGAGTGCTGTGTGTTTCTTTTCAATAAAGAATTGTTGTCCTGAGGGTGATAGAGCAGCTAATAGAAAGAATCTGGTTAATACTGGTTCAGTTAATTGACATAATTCTGATATAGGAATAATGTGAGCTGTATTTTATTTGCTTTTAATGCATCTATTTGCAAAGAAAAGGATATGCATTAATGTCTGATTAATCTTTCATTTCTTTACTAAAATATTTCTGTGATGCTACTTTTATAAGTTTAGATGTTAAGCAAGTATGATGTGCTTTCCCCTTACAGACCTGCAGCAGGCCTTTTGTTAGTGCTGCCATAGCATTTAATTCACAATGATCAGTTCCTCACCTGATACATTTTGGATGGTAATAGATTTCATATGCATCTTTTAACTCTTTCCATGCATTCCATGCATGTCCAATGAAGAAGGTGTTGAATTGTATTTTTAAAAGGAATGTTGAAAAAGTCTGGAAGACTTAATTCCAGAACTTAAAGATGTTTAAAGTAACAATACTGACTGAATTTGAGATTTCTAATTTTCTGATTGTGTTATCTGTGACCTAACTTGCACCTACTGTAGGACACGTATAGGCTTGTTTACCATGTAGCATAGCAGTAGCTCTCAGCTGCTAAGACACTGTGTGTTGCTTTTACCGTTGATGTGATGGTGGGAGAAGTGATGATAAACTTCATTTGAGGTTAGCATCAGGTTAATACCTGTGTTGATTATTACAGGTACTAGCTTACTACATCTAGACAAAATGGATTTAATCTTGAACTGGCATGAACCCTTAAACGTTGTGACAAGCAGTGCTATTTTATTTTTTTTCTCACCCAAATTTGTTCCTGAAAGAAAAGGTATTATTTTCCTTAAGGAATCATTCCTTTGTCGTCGTGGGTTTTTGGTTTCCGCTGGACAGAACAAACAAAAAAGCTGCAGAGAAAATTTCTGTATGCTTGGCCAGTTCATGGCCCAGATCTAACCTGTGGGAAGATCCTGTGTAGGTCCCATATAATTTTAGTTGCTTCTAACATGTCTGTCTATGTGCAGGCCTTTCAAATGGCAGATGCTGCAACCCTTGTGTGCACTGAGCCACCCATCTCTATATAGCTTCAAAACACAAGACAGTCTTGCTACCAAGGGTATGACAGACAAGTGTACTGATGGTTCTTGCCATAATGGCTTCCTTGAGTGTCATTCAAGGAAAAGGCCTACCTCACCTCTTCTCCAAAATGTACATATTTTACAGTCCTCAGTTTACAACTGGGGCATCCACACCATTCAGCTGCTTACTAATAATAGATGTGAGCTGCTGTATAAGCCCCCTTCTGCATCTTAGTAGGGGATAATCTTTCTGTAACCTTCAGATATGCCTCCTGTTTTCTTGAGGTAAACTCTCCTGTTCTACAGCAGAAATGGCTTGATGCTGTTCTCAACCACAGATTGTAACAAGGCAATATAGCTCAATTGATCAGCAGAACTTCATTGATGATATGCAGAATAAATAATTGGAGCTCTACAGATATGATATGCCCCACTAGAACACACACAAGATTTAGACTAGCTCTGAGACTTAGAAGCATTCTAGCACTTCACTGTGTGGTGCTTGGCCAATGGCAAAAGTTTATCTCCAAATCTTGTTTTCACTGACAAGCCTCAGTCCTAGCACAGTGTGGGTATTCCTGCCAGATTGCCTCTTGGACTGTCAGACAGGGAAGCTTCCTTAACACTGACCTCTGAACTTTTATTCGAAGATGGCAATTTGAAACCCTCACTGTTTCATATGAAAGTCGCTCCTTCTAGATAGACTTTAAAAAAACCCCACCCCTTTCTTGTTAAAGGGAAGAGGGTATTTTCCCATCCTTTTGACGCTGATAAAATCAAGTGTCCACTGTATTTCTCTGCTTCCTGACAGCCGAAGGAAAGCTCGGTCATGGGAAGCAAATGACCGGCGGGATGGGTTGCTCTGTGTTACGCGGGGTGCGAACAGGGGCAGCGTTAGCAGCACTGCTGTGGGCGGGAGAGGGTGAGAGGTTCGCAGAATCAAGGTATTCTAACTTTGCCCTGCACAGGACACCCCAAGAGTCACAACGCGTGCCCGAGAGCGTTGTCCAAACGCTTCTTGAACTCTGTCAGGTTTGGTGCTGTGACCTCTTCCCTGGGACGCCCGTTCCAGTGCCCAACCAAGGCATTTAATTGTCCTCCTGGTGCGTTTGGGGCTCTTTGCGGGGCGCGGTACGAGGGGCCGCGCCCCCCGCCCCCGTGCTCTCGGCGTGCGCAGCACTGCCTGGGCTGCCGCGGCCGGCGCTCGGACGCTCTCTGCCTGGCGCCGCCGCCGCCCGGCCGCCGCCGCCATGCCCGGAGACGAGTCATCCGCTTCGCCAGAAGATGGAACCAAAATGGATGCAGAAGAAAAACGCGGATGAGCGCCGGGGAGGACGCGGGCGGGGAGCGAATTCGCGCGGCGCCCGCGCGAGCCTCGGCGCGACCCCGGCGGCCCGCGCTCCTGCTCCCAGCGGGGGCCGGGGCCTTGTCGCGCTCCCGCTGCCGCTTCTCCCGCGCATGCCAGGGCGGCCTCGAGCGCCTCCTTCCGAGCCGCGGGCTGCGGCGGGCTCCCCGCCCCGCCGGCGCGAGGAGGGGGGCCTCGGCCCGGCGCCCGGCCTTGCTCCCCGGCGGAGCGGCCCCGCCGCCCCAGCCCGGCGCCTTAGCGGAGCGGGTTCCGGCCCGGGCCCCCGCCGTGAGCGGCTGCGGAGGGCTGCGGAGGGCTGCTCCCTTCGCTCCCCATTCACTGGAATCGCGGCGTTGGCCTCGCTCGGGGGTTTGTGGGAAGCCCAGTCCGCTCGAGGAGAATGCTGCAGAGGTGGTCCCCTGTGGGTCGGTGTTGTCACTTTCAGGCGCGAAAGCTGGAGTTTTATGTGGGATGTGCCAACTAAGATGTGAATGAAGAACCCGAACCCTGCTGCGGCAGGGCGGCCAGAGTCGTGTGGGTAAACTTCAGAAGCAGATGGGGAATGTGAGACTCTTTCTTTCTTTTTTTTTCTCTAACCTGAAACACTTTAATTCTGTTTATTAATCAGGAGAATAACTTGTACCCGAGAATGGAAGTAGAATATTATTAGGCAGAATTCAGTTAGCTTAACTCAATTATTATGTGTGCCCTTCATACAGAACTTACTTAGATAACATATCATGTTTATACTATTTCTACAAATCCATCAAAGTAAGTAAAATCAGTGTACAGCAACAGCGAAATAACTGGTTATGGTTACATAAAATAGCATGTAAGTAAATTGTAAACTCTGTTTACTACTTCTATATTGGGTGGGCACGTTGTTATTCTCTGGAAATTTGTGTATTTGTGATTGTTCTTCCTGTGATTTCTCTGTGATCTGGGAGGGTTAGGAGTTTGGATAAAATTCCTAGCAGCAGCTGGGGACATGTATCCATGCTCTGGCATGTGTAACTTAATTAACTTTCAAACCTCAGTGGAGGGTGCGCTGACTTCGCTGGGGTCAGCGTAGGTCTGATGTGGCTGAACACAGCGTGCACAGCTGGGCCTGGCTGGAGCCAGTGCTGGGCCTTGATTTTCACCTCTGTCCCAGGAGCAAGAGTGTGAGTAGTACCAGAGAGCGCTGTACGTTTTTACTGTGTTGGAATAGAGCTCATTTGCTCCAGCTCCTTCCTGCACACAAGTAACAACTCTGTTGTTAGTTTGACACTGTCTCAAACCTTCTGAAGCTGAGGGCTTGAGCTGCTGATGTCGCCAGGAGTCGAGATCTGACAGTTTGTCCAAAATACATGTGTGTACAATGATAAAACCCCTTAGTTTTTATCCCTAGCCAACCCCTTAGGAAGGAGAGGATGTACATCGGTATTTAACACAGGAGATGTCTCTGTGTTTTCCTTACTAGTCTTTGTCATTTATAAGATACCTTCTTTAATTACACATTCTTTAATTGCACAGTGTGATTTCCTACCTAGTTCCGCGCTGCAGATAAAATACTATCTTTAGCAAACTTATTAAAGTGATTTCCATGAAAAGGTACTTTATTGTCTCACAAAGAAGAAGAAGAATTGAGAAACTCATTCTTACACAAGTACCCACTAGATAATGATGCCCTTGACAACCTCTTGTATTCCTTTCTCCATTTTTACTCATCAAGAACAGGTATTTGGGCTGTTTCTCTGAATGAGAATGATTTGACAAAACCCATTAATAGTAAAAGAAAAAAAAAAGTATTGATACTTTTTCACTCTGAAGTTGTCAAGACTCAGGTGGCAAGAGATGCTTCATGTCTCATACAAAAGGTGACTCTGTGGCTTGTGGCAGAGCACTCCTTGGCATTCCTTTTGATGAGTGGAAAAGGCAGGTCATGCAGACACCCTTTCTGAGTCAGACTCTCGGGGATTGACTAAGGATTTAATTGTAGCTGTGCAGATTTCATAACTATTTTAGTAAAGAGATATATGCAGTTGTTTTGTTTTGAAGGGGTAAATAGTAATGTGATATAATATTTAATGCACTGTGAGATACATATTTCTGCTGTTGCTTCAAATGGAAGTAGATACTAGTCCTCCTTCAGAATGTCTGCAGTTGGATTAAAAGCTGCAGTGTCTTCCAGCTTTTGTTGTACATCAGTATACTTTTCTTTCATTAAGCTGTTGTAATGAATAGATGTGAGAAATAAGGCTGCACCCATGGATTAAAAAAAAAATCAAGAATGGTAGAGAAGAGAATGTAAAATTGTCCATGTTATTGTTTACTCCCTTAAGTAAAATAGAATTATAACTGGATAGCTCTGCTGTCTTCAAAAATGCACTCTATTTTCTATTGCCTGAAGCACAGCTTTAAAATACGAATATAGACCACCATTCTGTGGTGTTATGATCTGATCAACTGAGAGAAGCTGAGAGGAGTAATCTGCTAAATCTGCGTGAAGCTGACTTCTGTTAATTTAAGTAACAAGGTAAACAGGAAGCCAGCCAACCTGGTGCTATGGGGTGTTACCTTTCACTGTCTATAAATTTATAGAAATGCCTTTAAAGAAAAAATTATAATAATGGTCTTAATGGTTGGGGTTTTTTATAAACAGAGAAGTCCTACATTAGAAAAAAAAGGACTTGCAAGTTGTACTGTGCAACTTCCACTTTGGTTCTGAGAAAAAGAGGGGGTTTTACTTCTATGCTACGAAAAGGGGCTATGAAAAACTGTTTAGTTGGTGTCAGTTTAAATTCCATTTAAATTTAATTTTAAAGTATCTAATTCTTGGTGCACAGTATAATTGATTAGAGAAGTGTGAAGGCTTGGAAAGTATTAGTTCATTAGAAATTTTGGTAATTTTCTACAGAAACTAATATAAAATATAGGTAATATCTGTTAACTTGTTTTTGGTGGTGTTTGTTTGTTTGTTAACCTCCTAAATATCAAGTTCCTAGTCTTGGAAAATGTTTACTCTGGGAGTAATAAAATTGTTTTGACATGTACAATCGGAAAGGGGTATAATAGAGGCAAAGAAATTTTGACTAGATTGTATTTCTAAGATGAGATGAAGAGTGTGCTGCTTTGCATTATAGTGTCACTCATGCTGAAGTTGCAGACTACAATAACCAGTGTTTATTGAAGTTACTGTTTACAGTTTACTGATAAATTAATTGGTTGAGAGGTAAGTGTTAGACTATTTTTGAAAACGGCACATTGACTTCTGTCATTAGTTTTGTTTCAGCTAAGAAAATTTCCTTGAATTTGATTTTGTTTTGTAGCAGTGAAGGTAATTAACTTGCTTTACTTGAATCTAGGTTTGCAGAAAAGAAACCAAGCTTATGGCTGTTTAGAGAAAGAAAGGGTTTAGTATGCTAACTCAGTTTAGCACCTGAAACAGCATGACATTTCTCAGTCTTGCATCATTGCAGCTAAAATTCTATGGTTAAAACTGGAGAAATTTTGCATATCACGAATAAAAGTTAAATAAGGCTTTTTGCTAGCTTGGCAAAATAGTAAAACTTTAGTTTTATAAATGAATTGAATTTGTATAAGGTGGTATTTAGTGAAATGTTTGGTTTTGGAGGCTTCTTTGAGTCAGAACTGTTTAAAAACAGAGGTTGTAGCAGACAGCTGAAGGTGTCCAAACCTGTGTTTCTTTTGCTGTGACACAGCTGTTCTACCTTCATCTTTCTCAACCTCTTGGTGGTTATTTGTTGTGCTATCTTTAGTGGTTAAATTGGAAGACTTGCAGATGCAGCAGAACATTACATGTTTCCTTGCAACAGGTGACATATTAGAAGTTGATTAGGGAGAATTTGAAAATAAAGGCAAGCAAAATGCAAAGCAAAATAGGATTAGTTGAGACAGAGGTAAGGAAAGAAAAATGGGTCAAATTCCAAAGAATTGCAAGGTGGAAATTTTGTGGGGTTTATTTCCAAATTTCATGAATTAAAAAAAAAAAAAGTGGGAAGGTGATGAACTGGGCCTAAGTAGAATGGCCTCTTAGATGCAAAGGCAGTTGCCTTCTTGCTCTTCATAACTCACAGGCTCAGCAGCACATGCACTTGAATTCAACAGCCAAATCATCTCAGCCTTTAGGAGGTTTCTATTGTCTGACAACCATGTGCACGATAAGAAGTGGATGGTGCAGAGCTTTGCTGAAGTAGAAGTGGTGAGGTGGTAGAGAAAGTTGTAGAGGTTAAAGAGAATTATGGATCTCACATTTATGAAACCTTTTTTTTTTAAGTAAGGCCAACATTGCTAAGGAATGAATTGTTGGAGTAGGTGCGTATAGACTTTGTTAATACCTAATAGTACAGTTTCTGAATTGACTCATCTGTCTAGAAAGTTGCTGCTTCCACAGAAGTTAGTTAGGACCTTTCCTTATAGTCTTAGCAAGGGATATATGGCTTTACCACACTGCTGCAGAGCTTCTCAACTCATTCTTGTGCTAAAACAGATGTGGTTGTTCTGAACTGAAAATTGCTACTGTCATCTGGATTGTTTGTGATACTGTTAAGTGAAGTACCCTTGAGGATGTGTGTTGGTTGGTAATTGACAGAATGCTTTGACTGATATTTTAGTAACATGAGATAAAACTTCCCTTGTCTTTGAGTCAATACTTGGATTTCCAAGTTAAGGCCCCTTAAAGCTTAGAGTTTGTAAAGCAGAACTTTCCTTGTCCTGGAGTTGTTCTGTGGATAAATTGAGAACTGATAGTTTGAATCCAATCTGCAACCCCGAAGACAGATAAGAGTATATTGTTGGCATTATATTTGACGTTTCTGATTGCTACTAGATTGACCTTTTTATCTCCTTTCTTTTTTTCAGGCTGGAGCTCTTGATTTATTGAAGGAGCTTAAGAATATTCCCATGACCCTTGAGTTGTTACAGGTATGATTTTCTTATTGCTGTTATGTTGCAAATACTCCGTAGTGATGAAGGTGGAGCCAGCAAATTTGAAAGAGGGTTGTGCTATTAAAGTAGATTTCTAGGTAGAAAGTCCTGGGAAGTATCAGTTTTGTTACATAGTAAAGTAGTCTGAATTCACCATAATTTAGGACACTTAAGTGTTTTCTTCCACTAGGAAGCTCTTAAAACTTATCCTTCTGTATAAGTTCAAAGTAGTGAATTTTGTCATGGAAAAGGGGAAGAGCTGCTTATGAGTTTACCTTCCACAGAATCTTACGTTCTTACTCTAACACATATGTGATGTGTTTCCTTCCTCCTAAAGGAGAATGCACCTGATTATAGCTCATACCATCTTTTCTTATGTAGTTAGTTCTGGTTTTGGATTGTAAGTGAGGAGAAACATAGTTCATACCTTCAGGCAAGTCATATTTGACACTCTGCCCCCCAACTCTGAATACTGTATTTCTTAAGGTAATTATACTCCTCCTTCTCTTTCTCCTGGGCTGAAGTGATGGAGTGGTACAATCTCTCCCTGTTGCATGCATGTTCTCGCTAATGTTACTTATATCTGCATCTCTAACACAGTATTTAATATACTACTTATAAATTCTTTCAAAAAATACACTGGGTAAACTTTATTTGCCTGTCAAGTTTCAGAGTTTGTCACATAATTCATCAATTAACAGCTTTTGTTCCAAAGTAACCAGATATTCCCTATCTGTGACAATTTTCTAATGATAGAGGTAAATCTAAGACTTAATTTGCTGTGGTAGCCTCTTTTAAATTGGAGGAGACTGAAAAATAACTTTTTTCTAGGTGACAGTTAATGGTCACAGGTACAGAATTAGCCATAAATTTTAAGTCTTAAAAGTATCAGTAGCAAGGACATTCTTGATTCATGCATCCTTAGTAATAACTTAGTAGGTTATTGATAGTTCTGTTTGTGACAGAAAATAGGAATTTTAAAGTGTCACCTTCACGCATGAATGAGCATGGCTGATAGAACTGAGACCATCTTCCCTGTGTTCAACCTCCTTCCTTAAAAAAAAAACAATCTCAGAACCCCACAGAAAAAATGCCCCGCACAGAACAAGAACAAAACCCAGAAAAACCTTCTGTTAACCTTATTCTTTGAAGTTTCTTTGTCCTGGTCTTAATGCAAAGTATTTGTGTAATAATGGGGCTTTTTGCCTTTGAAATGAAAAATCTCTGAGCAAGTGCTCTGACAATTCTGTCAATGCTTCTGTGCAAACCTGTTCTGGTTAGTGTGAAGAAGTCTGAAGGAGAAGCTTTACATAGAACACCAGAACAATTTTATCTGAGAACCATGAGGATCTGAAGAATATACACATATATAACTTATTCTTTTATTAGTTATAATAAAAACATTAGTAAAATTATCAACAGAGGAGGACTCTTAATCTTGCAAGACAAACTAAACTGTCTGCCTTTTAGAGTACTTGTGTGACCCTGACTTAATTTATATAGGGCTGCATATTAGTATTGTCCAATTTTCTGTCCTACTTGAAAGAAGCTTATTTATTCCCCTCCATATTACAGGTACCTGTTTTTAGTGTGAAATAATATCTGCAGTAAAAGACTGGTTTTAATCTGTGTTAGAGCAGCACCATACAAGTTTGTAAAGAAGATATCTCCATGTTACAGTAGGTCTAAAGGGATCAAGTATTTTAACATAGTGTGTTGACTGTGCTAGGACATAGCTAGAAAGTTATTCTTAAATATCCACTGCTGTATTCAAAACAGTTCCACTGCATAAGATTGCATTTAGCAACATATTTAGACTCAAATTGACATTATTTTTCTTGAGAGTTGTATAAACATGTCATGTCTTTCTACACTGGCCTCCCAAATTTGCTTAAGCAATGGAGGACTTGGAGCAAGAGTTGAAATGCAAAGTAATGCAAAGTAATACCCATTGCTCTGGCAGTGGGATCATTAGTGTGCTCGTGTCAGGAAGAGTGATGATCATGAGAAAGTGGGAGCACTTACTGCACTCTGTGTGGATTGAGGTATCTATTGATGTGTGTGAATTGATGAAATGCAGGACACAAGTGAAAAGCATACTTCCACACCCGTTTTTAAGCAGTTTTGAAAGCTGGCTACATTGAGAAAAGCACTGCTAGCAGATGTGATAGTTTTGTTATTCCTTCGTAATAAGAGAAGCAATGATTTTTCATGTAACATGACTGCTGCTTCAGTCTGAATTGGTGAGTCCTCTGAACAGTATACAAATATGTGGAAGATGCATATCAGTGGTCTGGACTTGTGCTCATGTCTTGTGTCTTTCTTGCTAGATTTCTTTTCACAGAGAGCTGAAGTGATTATAGACAATAATACGACTGTGTGATATCTAACGAGTTTTATGTAAGCAAGCTGATCCTTGCTCAGCTAGGCAGGGAGCCAGTAGCCTTTCCTCACACGTGATTTATCTGGCAGTCTGAATTGCAAAGCTGTTTAGCAGCCACGCAGTATTAAAGGCATCGTGTCCCTCGTGCTAATTGTGGCCAGTGTGCAGCTAAACAGCGAGTGAGACAGACAGGCTTTATTTTAACAAACAGGTTTAACTGGAAATTACACACACGTATGCAGAACTAGACTGTGATGTACAGTCCTTGTCAGCGGCTTCGTGCCAGTTCACTGGCAAGCTGGGAGACCTGGGAACCTGGAGGTGGCTGTTCTTCAGCATTTGATTTGGCTCTGCTTTGTCTGAGAGCTCACCAGTTCTCTGTCCTCACCAATTCTCTATCCTCATACTCTCACGGTTTAAAGTTGGTGACACCTCTGCTTGCTTCAGTGGTTGCTTTTCTTCCCCTGCTATGTTCCTCATTTGTTCTGGTTTAGAAAAGACTTGCTACCATCATATGCTTTGGTTTGGGTTCAGTTGTAGGTTACTTCTGCTCACTGTTGCTCATATCCACTGAAGGCTGCTTGGCCTACAGCTTGAATGCTTCAGGGGTGAAAACATCAGTCTTATGCCATCTTTGCCCATCTTATGCCATCGTTGCCCGTCTTTACTCTGAAAGCAGATGAAAAGTACTCTAGAATTTGCAGTGGGGCAGAATGAAAATACTGGAGTTTTTCACTTGAAAATCACTTCATTTTTTTAAAGTTTTTCACTTTAAAAATGGCCCTCACAAGAACAACTCCATAGACAAAAAGGCTGAGGAAATTTCCAACTGCTCCAGAAAAGCAAACAAATGAGCTGTTTTTGTGTACTGCCTTAAGAAAGCTGGCAGTTTAAATGGTTACCATAATCTGTCTCTCTTGTGTGATCAAAATAATAAATTAATTTATCCAGTTAGTTTTGAGTTTTACTTGAGTTTTTGGGTTTTACTTACCTAAGTAAGTCTGTAAGATTGTGTGTTTTCTCTTTGCTGATGAGCGTAGGCTGTGGTTATACCCAGATATCTATCAGTGGAGGGTTGGGGTTTTTTTGTAGATACATTTTTCTCATTCAAATATGATACTTTATGGATTTTCAAGGACATGTTATTCTTTATTGTCTGAACATAATGTTGAGATTCAGTTTCAAAATTTCAAGAGAATTGGCCAGTACTGTTAATCTGAGTGAGCAGAGTCAGTCCATCTTGAAACACTTTGGTTACAGGTGAGTAACCATCTGTTTTCTTTAATCCAAACTGCATGTTTTGAGCTGATGCTCAAACCTGAGGTTATTTGATGTGTTTTCTTGGCTGAAATAGCTACTGACTGTTTCAGTATGTTTCCAATCATTTAGCACATTCATGGTGCCTCAAAAAGTGTTGTGTGGGTTGTAAGAAGTAATTTACAGGAACAAATCATTTTCATTTTTAGCGAGCCACAAAGATTTAAATTTTCCTTTAAAGGAGAAGGAAATTCATGATGAACTATTGCAAAAGTAAGTAGAATAATTTATATTTAGTGAGTTCTGTCAATGGTAATGCAACAAAACTGAACATTTTAAGAACGATTAATTTAGTCATTGGTCAAAATATGAAATGGAAATAAAATCCTTGTTTGTATTGTTAAATACTTTTCTTCTCTTCTGAAGCTAAAAGTGTGGAAATTTTCTACTTGTTACATGAACATGTCAGTCATAACTCTTCTAAAATGTTGTTGTGGAGCTTAATTTATGTCTTAAAAGGCGTGGATTGTGAATTACTCCTCTGTTCTCTCTATAGGTGGCAGTAGTGGCAAAGGCTTAAAGCTGTCTTGGCCTTTTCAGAGAGAGAGAGAGGCTGGGTCATTCTTTAAAATCTTAACCACAGAGAGTTCTGTTACTATCTAAAGGCAGAACTCTCTGTGCTAAAGGTTTTAAAGAATCTCAGTATTGCCAAAATTTTTAGGAAAGTAAAATGTGCTCACTCCCAGCTGGTATTACAACTTCTTCCACAGCCACTACTAAATGGGAATTCTAAGACTATGATGCTAGTGAAGCAGTTAGCAAGCTTCTGATCATAACAAAATATAAATACAGTCCTTCACCCTCCTGCCCACCCCCTTCCCAGACTTCTGTGATGGAGACAAATGGTAATACTGTTGTGTTTCTTTTTGCAATGTCTGTTGCAAATAAGTCTGTTAAAATAAGTTATATAAAGGCTTGCAGCATTTCATCCTGTTAATCTTAAAATAAAAAAATCACAAAAGCAAAGAAGAAAAGATACTTTAAAAAAAAATGTGCTCAAGTACAGCTTTATATATGTTTACTTGTTAAATGATCTTCATGTCACTTTCTGTGGTGTATATTTCTATTTATTTTGCAGTCTACCAGAATTGGAATGTCAGTGAATGCAATACGCAAGCAAAGCACAGATGAAGAGGTTACATCTTTAGCAAAATCTCTTATCAAGTCTTGGAAGAAACTGTTAGGTATGGTGAAACAAACTTCCCTGCTCCTGCATGTTTTGACTGTATGTAGTCTTGATGCACATCTCTGACACTGCTTTGCTTAAGATATATTTGTGCTCCTGTCTAAGTGCTGAAATTTTCTGTGCTGATGTAACTGGTTTTTACTGTTTGACTGTCACCAGTGCATTACGGTGAGAGTGTATTCAGAGAAGCAGTTAATATATTTTATTGAGGCTGGCAAGCAGTAGGAAATCAGCTTCTCTGATGTGATTCATATCTGAAGTCTTGTTGCCTGCAGTTGAGCTGGAGTGACTGTGCTGCTGCACTAGGCGCTAACAAACCTGTTCTTTACTATTTCCTGTGTCAAATATAACGAGTACTCTGAAGAACTAGTGCAAAATCTCATAGGAGAGCGTGGAGGCTTTGAAGTTTGGTTATTAAGTGATTTGTGATGAGAAAAAGAACAACATAAAAATGATGTTAAAAATGCGTTAGAACTTACAGGTAGTGAGAAATAGGTCTGCATTTTTTTAAAACCATAATTTTAAACAGCTTACTAATTAGAGAGTTAATACTTTTTGTTTAATTTCCCTTAAAGCAATTAATGCAGTTAACGAAACCTTTCTGTTAGATTTTATTCAAGGGTACTACTTGGTAGTACTTAATGTATTTGAAAACATACAAATCTCAAACTCTATCCAGATATTTTTGTTCATATACTGTGCTGCACTCTATTTTGTTTCTTTGTATCTAAGTCTAGGTAAAATAAGATTTAGGAAGCTTAAATTTTTTAAATAGAAAATAACTTACGTTATGATTTAAATATTTACCATTCTGTCTTGAAGAATATGCCAAATACCAGGACTTGTTAGTGTCCCCTGCCATTTGAAGTCAGCCTCGTTTTTATCAATTATGAAGTGTTTTATCAGGTACTTTATTCCTGATGATATTGTAAATTATGTAGAAAATACTATGCCTGTAAAAATGGACAATTTGTCACAACTTTCAACTTTTATATTCTAGTAAGGAGCAACAGCCTCTACAGCAAACTTTTTTCAGCTTACCTTAAAAAAAGTTAGATAATACTAATTATGTTAGTTTTAGTATTTAAATTTAGGTAATACTAGACATACAGATAAAATATCTTTAAAATCATAATGACTTTTATTATAAAATGCATGCTTATAAAAGATCTTTATAGGATCTGATCAGATTTAACTGGTAAATAGTGAAAATAATATACTTTTTATTTTTAAATTTCCATTTAAAACTTAAAGTCCAACTTTATTATATCAGTGCATAAAAGTGATAAGATATATAGGTGGAGAAATGGACTTGCATATTAACTTGAGTTACTCTAAAAACTTGTAAAAGTAGCAGCTAGATTGAGTCATTTAGCTCTCAAGTTATTAATCGAAGTTTAAAAACAACCCAAATCCCTACCAATGTTTTGTAGTTTTTACTTTTTTTTTTTTCCTCTGGAGTTCAAAGTTTTGATACTGCAGCTTAGTTTAGGGAACAAAGTAGAGGAGATATTCTCTTTTCCAACAGAATACTCAGCTTTTGAGAGTGTGCTCGGATGCTGCTCTTTTTGGGGAGTAGGGAACTTACCTGGTTATTGCTGTTCTTCGACCAAAGGATTTGCTGCTTATTTGTTGAGACAGTAAAAATAGTAGTCTCATTTTTTTAACACTTGAGTATCTTCAGTCAGTCAAATTTGTCTTAATATATTGTTACTTAAAGCTGACTGATGTGTAAAGTGTTCAAATGCTGTGAAACATGGGGAGTGTTACTCCTGCCTGAGGACCAGAGGGTGTTCATACTCCGGAGCAAGAATGTGGTGTCTGATGGTCACGGCAGGTCAATCTGGGTTCAGGCTGCTGCTGAAAGGGGTGGTCTGGCTTCCTTTCTGCACAAGTGCCTCCTGTGCTACATATAGTGCTCAAGTGTCTGTCCAGGAGACCACGGCTGGTAACTGACCAGTTGGAAACTAATTGGTTTATTACTTCAGGCTTAAATTTCAACTACCTTTTTTTTTTTTTGGTCCAGCCTGTTTGCAGTTACTGTTTCCTGCACAGGGATTGCATCAGTAACTGGGGCAAGGGGGACTTTTCCCTTTCATAACTTGCTAGATTCAGGTTGTTTTAGCACAGCTGGGAGACTCTACCTAAGGCTTCTTGCAAGAGCTGAAGTCAGATGTGTGAGGAACTGGAAAGCAAATAACAAATATTTGGCATTAATCAGAACTGAATAGGTCTTGAGGCAGTGGGTGTGACCTTTGTTCATGCACTAATTTTTGCTACAGGACAGATATTGTTGTGTGTAACGTTATCATGCCCGGTCTAGTTTAGTCATGGTAGTGTGCTTATTACATAAAATCAAATTATTCCTGAAAATACAGCATTCAAAACTTAAATAGCTAAATTCTCCTTGGTTGTAACATAGACCTGTAATAAAGCATAGTAGGACAAATGTTTCACTGTTGTATCACTGCTCAGTTATTCATTAGAACTTAAACTCTCATAACTGTGAAAGGTGGGCTATCAGTATGGGTGGGAATCTTACGAAGTACTCTTATTCTGTTTTATCATTAGTTTTGACTTTCTCGGAAGAATACGAAATACCGTATGTTGAGCTGCTTGAGAAATCAGTTTCGATTATGCTGTTTATAGTGCATGTAAAATGGTGTGGATCAAAGATGGCAGCAGAAGCGGACAGCTGTTAATCGTACCGAGCATTGTACTCAGAGGTCTGAAGTCTTTGTGAGTTATTTTTATAAATGACATTTTGAATTTAGGCAAGAATTGTTTACTGTTCAGGCTGCATGTACTGTTTCAGTTCAATGCTATCAGAATTCAGTTTTTAAGAGTGCATGGGAAACATGAGAGGAAGTCAAAGTGAGTTGTGAATCACCAGATCTTTATGACTTGACTAGAGCCTTGACAGGTTAGCAGTGGTTGTTCAGGGGGGTTGGGAGCTGCGCAGCACAGGGTTGGTGAGCATTGTCTGAAGTGACTCACTGGCTGAGCCACAGTGCAGGGATGCTCTCAGATATTGTCGTTAGAACGTTAAACCACGCGGCCAGGGTGGTCACAATTTGCATAAGGAACCAAATTCGGCTCTCAGAATAAAATAGTGTTCAGTTAGAACACAGGATTTGCAAATACTGATTGTTATGCCAAGTAGCTGAGTTTACAGAGTATGCCACGCAGAAAATGAATCCATGCATGCTCATTTAGGTTGTGAGAAGTGTTTCTTTATATTAAAAAAGCGACAAAAATTCCTTAAGGAATTTAACCTCCATCACTTGGTGAACTGTAAGAGTATGCAGTGAAAAAGAATGCCCAGACTTGTAAGTAAACTCACCTCCAGGAACTTTGTGTACTGAATAAAAATGTAGAATCATTGGACAATAATCTTAACATTAAGTGATCATCTGTTGTCAGTATTGAAAACTAAAGGTGAGGCCACAAACATTTTGAAATGCCTATTTCAAAGAAGGGCATGCCTGAATAATTTTATTTTAAAAGAATGTTTAAGTGTTAGTAACACCAGCCAGGCTTCACAGAAGTGTTTTACTCAGATTCCTTTGTTCATAATATCCTTTGTTATTTTGCACCTGGGTTTGATTCTACTCGAGCAAGCAGGTACAGTGTAGGACTGTCTTACAGGTTAATGCTGTCTTTAGGTGAAGTTGTTCAAGGACATCTAGAAACCTACTGGCTTTGATAAAAAAAAGTTACTGACAAAACAAGATTTTAAATTAGAGTCTAATAGTGTTTAAGACTATTGTTTACTATTGATAGGAAGAGTACATGTTTTTATAAGACATCAAGTAGAATCAAGTGCAAAAATAATTTCAGTAGTTTCATTTGCATATCAAGTGTGAGATGTGGAAATCAACTCCTGTCAAATATATATTTGGAGCTGTTCCATGTACTGTTAGTAGATCTGTTATTTTTTAGGATTATCAGTGGTGAGATAATAACACATGATGCAAATTACATTGTGCTATATAAGTGAAACACATATATAGTGCAGAAGTCCATATGTCATCCTCCTCTGTAACTGATAATAAAAAAAAAAATCTTTAAAAATACCAAACAAGTAATGATTTTGTTCTTTATTCATAATTCTTAGTTATTCTTCCCCACAAAACTACAACTAGGAAGAAAGTGTACTGATCTTACCTTTATGCCTTACTATATCTTGTAGAGGAATTGCTGACCGCTATAGCTGCTTGTGCATCTCAAGATTATTTTGGTCATAGTCTGGAAAATGGAGCCTAAATAATTATTAAATATGAGAATCATTGTTAAATTAATTATGTCATCTGATACATGTTCTCATATCTCTTTCCTTTAACCTACTTAATTTGATTATTCAGAAAACTTTTCAAGCTCAGGTGGTGATTCCTGAATCAGTAACATACAGTATCTCACTAGATTAAATTCTCATGTGCTTCCAGAGAATAAATAGCCACCTTTCATTAAGGAAAAATTTCTGGGAAAATTGTTACTTTAAAATTTTTCTTAATTTAAAGTTAGATTTATGAATAAATAACATTACATCTTTATATTTTCTAATTTTTTTCTTGTTACTAGCAAGTGTCTAGTGTTGGCTTGTAAAATAGCTAGAAAAATCTAGGATGAAGGTGTTAACCACTTCTAACATTCAGTTTAATTATGTTACCTGGCTGTATAATATTATATTAAAATTTCTGTTTTGGTAACAAAATCCACTATCATGTCATGTTTGACCCTGGAGAGATTATTTCACCAGAGAAGCTAGGAGTATCTTTCAAAGTAGTTACAGGTACAAGATAGAAACTGCATTGCAGTCATCAGACTTTGATAGTCTTATTCTGATAGCTAATAGGAAATTCATATCATTACTGTGCTCTTTGTATTTTAAAGAATTGTTAATATAAATTAGCTTCTCTTACAAAAAACAAAGCTTTAAGATTTTTTTATGGCTTGCTAAAACTGTGAAGTTACAGTTTTCAATCCTAAAATCGGTGACAATTTCAGGTTTTTTTCTGAAAAAAATTATTTCAAAGTTTGAATAGGTATAGAGTTGAGAAAAGGAACTGTGCCTCTCTAAAGCAACTTGTAATTTATAAATATTTATAAATATTTAGAATATTCTATGGACTTCCTGAGGTGAACCATGTATTGGAATTTTTAAGGGTGTTTCACAGAAGGGCCATTTTTTTCCATGTTACTTTGTTAGAATTTCTGTGTCTTGTAATTCCTGTTAACTGTCATTCTTCCTTTCCATTAGAGTCTGGCCACTGAATGTAAAATAAGTTAATTAGTAGGGACTTTTAATTTGTTAAGGGCATTTCTTTCCTTTCCCCAGAGGATAGCTGAAATGCTGTCTAGTAGGCTCTTAATTGCATTCTGTTCTTTTGTCAATACAGTATCTCAATAAAATAAGATATTCTTATTAATGTGTGAGCTTAAGAATAAATCTAGCATGACAGAGCATCTCCTGTCCTTGGTGCTTTCCAATTTATGATTCATATGATTCATTAGGATAACAATATTATCCTAAACAGTTAGGATAATATTGTTAACTTTATTTTCAGATTTCTTAAACTGGATTTAACAAAAATATCTGTAAACCCTAAATGATTAAATGAATTATAGTTTTAGAGACATACTTACTGAAGATGGTCCAGTTGTTTCAGCTGCTGGAGAAGCTTGGCCTTGGTTTAAGACATGCTTGCACAGACTGATCTGCAGGTGTAGGAGGAGCTGTGCTTTTACCTCTTGCATTATCTTGGTGCCTCATACACACCCTGCCCTCCACTGGGGCAGGTGTTGGTATTGGCAGGTGTTCTCAGGGGCCTGCCTTGTTTGATGAAATGGTGCTGGGTTAAATGGAAGTGTTTGATAGATGAAAACTGGACGCCAGCTATACCACAGTGGTGCATATGATGCAAAATAAACAGGACATCCATAGGTCAGCTCTGAATTTGACTACTTGTGAGCCAGAAAAAAATATGGAGGTGAATGGGCAGAAGCAGAGATACCTATTTGATCTATTCGTTTGTCTTAAGGCCTCTGACAAAGATGATCATGTGCTTTAAAGGTTGTGAAGGTAAATGAGATTGTATGTGTATTTAGAAGATTTTAAAAATCATATATCATGTAGGCATTTGTTGCAATAGAGAGCAGTCATGTGAGTATGCATGTTAAAAATGGGACTTGTTTTCTTCTGGCATTGTGCACTTCAAGTGTCATAGCGAAGACCTGGTGTGATCCATGTTTATGGCTTCATTTGCTTTCTTAGTGAAATTACTTTTTGATAAGTATTAGTTGATAAATTGATACCTTTATTAGGAATTTTTTTAATAACATCTTTAGCTTGTGATATGGTTTGAAGCTGGCTCCCTGCCAAGTCTCCAAACCTTACCACCAGAGTTCCTCCCCCCCCCTCAAACCTCAGGGAAAAGAGGGAGAAAAAAACGAAAGAAAACCCGAAACGAGAGAGAGACAACCAAAGTGAGATATATAAATATATTTACACTTATATACAATTAAATAAGGGAAAGGGAAGGGGGAAGGGAAAAGGAACAAAACCAAAATATTATATATATAAATATCCCAATTAGCAGCCCAATATCTATCCACTAAAAGAGTTAGCAAAGAAATAGCTCACTACTCTCCTGGGACAACCGAGGGTCGGATCGCCGGCAACCTCTGTCTCCCAAGGTCGGCAAGGCCTAACCAGGCCTCGCTCCCCAACAC